ACCCGGCGCTGCAGGAGGAGCACGGGGCCGTTCCTGTGCCTGCGGTCTGCGAAGCGGGTGGACAGATGTCCCCGTCGCCCCCCCGCCGCTGGCTGCGTTACCCAACCTGCCAAGGGGTTGAATGATTAACCTCCGGCTGCGCCATCGCCGGGAGCTGGTGCAGCCCTGCTCTGTCCCTGCTCTGTCCCTGCTCTGTCCCCGCTCTGTCCCTGCTCTGTCCCTGCTCTGTCCCTCTCTGTCCCCGCACAGCCCCAGGGTGCAGTGGCACCTGGGACCAAGCCCTTATCCCCGCTGTCCCCAAGCCCAGATGATGTCACCAGCTCCCAGGACCACTCCCCAAGCCAGGTCCCACCAGCTCAGCCAGCCCAGGGCAGCCACCAGATCTCCCTACAAACACAGAGAGGGGTTAAATCCAGATCCCTGTCCCGGCTCCCACGGGTCTGGAGTACTCACAGCACCGGCGCCACAGCCCAGCTCCAGCTTCCCGGCACGGACACACAGGGAATTTCGCCTTCTCCAGCCCCAGCTGCAGCGCCGGGGGCGTCCGGGCTGGAATGATCACAAATAGCCTTGGACAAACATCTGCACGGCACCACCCCGTGTGGCTGGAGCGCGGAGGGAGGGCGGCTGCAGGACGGTTTCAATCACGATAAAAACCCATCAAACGCCTAAAAACCCCCAGAGGGGATCGAGCTGCAGACACAGCAGCTGATAAGACCCCCCGGCCATGGGGTTCAGCCCCCCGTGTCCACGATGTGCCGTGCACAAGGCATAGCTTTTGGAATTCCCATTCTCCACACCCGCGTGGGACACGAAGCCAAGAGCTCCTTGCTCCCTGAACTGGGAGCACTCAGAAGGTGCAGGGCCCAGAGCAGGGGGATAAAATCAAGCATCTCCCTGCTCCCAGCAGCGAGTCCCAGGGCTCTGCAATGCCAGGCATTGCCATTCCCACTCTATCCCACCAGGACCGGGTGTGGGGTGATCCCCATCCTGAGCTCCATCAGCCACAGCAGGTTGTGCCACTCCCTGTGGAGTCTATTGATTGTTTTTATCTAAATTCCCAATTTTCCATGGGCATCTCAGACAGATTAAAACTAAAGTCACAAGAGTGGCACCTCAGGGTTATGGG